GAAAACTAGCTCCTTTGATTTTCTGCTGTGTCTGATTGGTTGTTGCTCTCACGTTCTACAATCATGTGACCAGCGATCATGTCTGATTTGCTCCCCAGCGTATCCCAGCACCAGTGCAAGGCCTGGCATGTGCAGGTCATTCAGATTACCAATACACAAATCACTGCGTAAGTTCGAGGGTTAAACATGTCTAGTTGCCAGAGTTGTTGCAAGAGCAGTTCTGTGGACAGGTAGGGATTGAAGCCAGATTACAGCAGACCAACAGGAAATGAGGGGTTGAAGTACCCACCTGGATGAGTTGACACATGGCAGCTGCGAGTTAAGGATAGAACAGCTTAGTAAGAAGGAAGTGGGCTTTGAAGTTGTGCAAGCCTTAATACGCACTGCAGTTCAATTTCTTTTTTAAAAATTTATTTTATTTATTTATTTTAAAGGGGAAAAACCCAATAAAAACAATGATACAGAATTTCAAAATTAGTTAATAGGAAATTATTGTTTAATATGTTGCTACATATTAATAATATGCTTCAAAGTAGTTACTCAGTTACAACATATAGGCATGAAAAAAATAACCATACAATATAAGCACAAACCGTTTTTTTGTTTTTGTTTTTGTTTTTTACCTGTACCAGGGATCGAACTCATGACCTTGCACTTGCAAGGCAGGCACTTACGCCACTGAGCTAAATCCCCAGTCCCCACAAACTGTTTTTTTAATGAACTAAAAATAAATCAGTAGTATACTTCTGTGTGTGTGTGTATGTGTGTGTGTGTATATATATATATATATATATATATATATATATATATCCTTCTGGCACAAGATCAAGTGGGATTTTGATGGGACTGCTTAGATGTGACTTGGGAGGCAGAGGTAAAGGACAGTGGCCGCTGAGCTCATGGCTGCTCTGGGACTCCTCCCCAGTCCGCCCTCACCTCTGCCTGGTATACTTCTTTTCCTGCTTTAACTGGCCCTCACCCACTCTGAAACGCACTTCCTTTCGGAGCGCTTTTTCTTGAGCACTTCTTTTCCTTCTTTTGCTCTCCTCCAGTTGATTGAATGGGACAGTAAGAGGCTGGGAAGGGTGCTGCCCCCTCCAGTGCCCGACAACAAGCATATACTCTATCCTTCTCCATAAATGGGGCTAACATAACCTACCGCTGAAAGTTCTGGGGCTTGCTGGGCGTAATGGTACACACCTGTAATCTCAGCACTCAGGAGACTGAGGCAGGAGGATCGACTCAAGTTCAAGGCCAGCCTGGGCTACACAGTGAGTTCAAGGTCAGAGAAGACAGATAAAAAAGAGGAGCATGGGAAAATGATGGAAATTTTCAAGGATGATAACCATTCTTGTGAAATAAGCCGCAATCTCTGTGCTGTTTTAATTTGCATTTCTCTGGTGACCAATCATGTTGAACAGTTTTTTCATATATTTATTTGCCATTTGTATTTCTGCACCTGAGAAGTACATATTCATCTCAGATGCCCATTTTTGAATTGCATCTTTGAATTTGGGGGAACTGATTTTTTTTCTTTATATGTTCTCGATCTAAGTCCTTTGAAGGACAACTGGCTAAACTTTTTCCCACTCTGTGAGTTGTCTTTTCACTCTGTTGGTGATTTCTTTTTATGTGCAAAAGCTTTTTAATAAAATGAGATACCAGTTGTTAATTCTTTGACGTATTTCCCATGTGGACAGACATAATAATTATAAAAGCACTTAGTTTCTACCTTGTGTAAATGGTCTCTTTCACTAGAACAGCAAGCATGGTTTTCTAGCTAAATTTCCCCTTTTTGTAGCTTTAAATTTTTTTGGCTGAGTGTCTATAGAATAAAACAGCAATGACTAGCTTTAACATCGTTATTTATTGTGTGCTTAGAATATGTGTAGTAGGTTTGACAGGACTCCCACAACACAATACTACAGTTGGTATGGCTTAAACAACAGAAATCCATTTTCTCACATGATGAAAGTTACAAGTGCAAGATCAAGATGCTGGTAGCAGTGGTTTATCCTGAGTCTCTCTCCTCAGGCTGTAAGGGGCATCATCTCCCCGTGTCTTTGCATGGTCTTCTTTCTAGGCCTTTCTGTGTCTAAATCTCCATACTGATCTCAACAGTGGTATGTAAACTAGTGTAATACTTTGCATCCCCACCAACAATGTAGGAGAGTTCTTCTTCTTCTTTTTTTAACCATAACCTCATCAGCATATGTTATTCTTTGACTTCATGATGATGGCTATTCTTTCTGGTATTGTTTTAATTTGCATTTCTCTAATGGCCAGTGTTATGGTTTGTATCTAGATGTCCCCCAAAGCCTCATGCTCTCATGGGTGGAGCTTTTCAAAGTTGGTTGGATCTAGAATATGTGATACCGGGATTAAGGGTGTGGGTTCTGGGTTAGACCACTGACTGGTTTATCATAGTTCTGGGTGTGGATAAATGGGAAGGCAAACCCTGGGTGTGGGTGGCTCTACCCAAAAGGTTTGCATCCTGAATGGGCTCAAAGGGAAAGGGAGGCTGCTGCTGCTTGCTGCATGCTCTGCCGTAGATGGTTTCTGTTCTGCCACGCCACTCTGCCTTGGAGCAGATGACTAAGGACTGGGACCTCCACCAACTGCGATCCAAAATAAACAGTTCCTCCTTTAGCTTGTGGTTGTTGGGTATTTTGTTTCAGCAACAAGGAAAGTGATACCCAAAGATGTTGAACATTTTTCCATGTGTTTGTTGGTCATTTGTACTTCTCTTCTGAGAAGTTCCTGTTCATTTCACTTTCCTATTTTTTGATTGCATGTTTCATTTTGGGTGATTTAATTCTTTTTGAGATTTTATATAATCTAGATATTAGAGCCCTCTATCTCAGCAATAGCTGGAAAATTTTCTCATTTTTTAGGTTGTCTCTTTACTGTATTAATTGATTCCTTTGCAATACAGAAGCTTTTTAATTTGATATAATCCCATTGGCATCTTCTCAAAAGAACTAAAAGACATCATATTACAGCCTTACATGCATGCCAATGTTTATAGCAGCACAATTCATAATAGATAAATCCTGGAAGCAGCCTGCATGCTTACCAATAGACAGATGAAAATATGGTATCTGTATATATATAGTGGGATATTACTTGGTTATAAAAAAGGATACATTCAAGACATTTATATGAAAATGAATGCACCAGGAAAATACAATGTTAAGTAAAATAAATCAGACATGTAAGCTTAAATATTGTGTGGTAGTTCTCATCTGAGTAAGGCAAAATAGAGGCAAAGAGCAAAGGATGGATAGAAGGAAGCAAGGTGATAGATCTTTTGCAAATGGGAAGGGTAACTGAGGACAAGGAGGAGAGTAAGAAGATTTAGGATCTGCCACACACAGGAACCTTATAACCTCAATAAATGTAAATATTATATGCCACAAGCATGAGCTAATAATAATAATGATAACAACAAGAAAGAAAATGGGAAAGGGAGATTTAGAGATGGAGGGAGGGAGTGAGGTGGGGGACTTAAAAAAGAAGCTGTGCTACGTAGATGGGACCACGCCACTGAAATGATTGTAAAATGCATGTACTGCAAATGTGTGCTAATAAAATCAGCTGAAATTTAAAAAGACCCTGTATCCAAATATAGTAGCATTCTGAGGTGTGAGGGTTAGAATTTCATCCTCACACTTAATGGGGGTGGGGGGCAAACTTTAGCCTATATCAAAATATGAATCAAAATTGTAAGTGCTTCAAAAGTATTGTATCATTCAAGTTTCAAACTGAAATCCATGAAAGAAAACCGAGGAATAGAGACACTAAATAATGAAACTAAGAGAAGAGCAGGTGGTAGATTGAAAACACAAACCCATAGAGACCTCAGATGACAACTGCACTCTATGTGAGCATCTTTCAGACACGCTACTGAATCTGTTCAAGTGTCAGAAAGGAGGGAGACTCAAATGATTTTTGTGCTGAACGATAGGAAAATGCCATCCCCCAACCACGATGCATTTGGGGAAGGTAGTAGAGGAGTCCTGGTCAGTCCTCACGGGGGACCTTGTGAACCACAGCCTGTTGCCCCACCCTTCTGGCCAGAGAGCCTTTCGCAGCAGGTGGTATGGTCAGAACTTGGCCACTAAGTCCACCCTCGTGTCTGGCAACACCCATGACGATGTGACATGAGTGTAGCCCCAGTGGAAACCACATATTCTGTTGGGAGCAGGAAATCCTCTCTTCTCCTGGCTGGTGCCAAGGCTTTCCAAGAGGACCCAGAAAAGGCCAAACTACGCCCAGAGCTCCTGGCAGGAGGCTGATCAGAGTACACAGCTGTAACCTCAGGTGATTCAGAGGAGAGATGGCAGCGATTAAGGACACCTGGCATATCGGTTGTTGTGACTGTTAAGATGAGGACAGCGTGTCATTTAGACTCTCAGCCTCAACTTTCTCACTTTAAAAAGTATCTTTCCGCAAGATTCATCCCTAAAGTATAAGGAGCCCTGGGGAGGTAGCTGACACCCAAATCACAATCCAAGGTAGAAGCAATGAACTGCATTACACTCTGGTTATTTTTAAATATGTTAATGATGGCTTCCGGCTGAGAGGCTCTGAAGAGAAGGGAAAGTTTCACCACGTTGTGCCATTTAGAAAATCCTTTCCACCCTGAAACACAATTATATGTGCAATTACGTCCATTAGGAGATTATTATTCAGCAACACATTTACTAAGACATCCAGATAGTAATAGATGTTTGGTAGTCTGCTAAATTTAGAAATTAGATCATAAACAATTGTCAAGAAGCTACAAGGCCCAAGATGTCACATGACATTTCCAAAACATCTGTATGAATTGAAAATACTACTATTTTCTAACCCAGAGCCATCATTTTGGGGCACTTAAAGTCAAATATCTGAAAATATTTTCAAATAATTTCAGAATGAGAAATGCCAATCTCAGTTTTAAAAATCAAAGAAATAGCTAATGACCAAGAATATTTTCTTAACAAGTATCAATGTTTATTTACATCAATATTTTACTCATACAAATTTTTATTTTATTTTGTTGTTCCTGCTTGGTTCTTATTTAGTTTTATTTTTTGAGACAGAATCTTGCTAAGTTGCTCTGATAGCTTTGAAATTTTGATCCTCTTATCTCAGTCTCCTAAACGAGCCAGGATCACACACATGTGCCACACATCACCTGAGCTCTTTGTTATGTGGTACAAAGGTGTATAAACGGTGAACTGTTGATCATGTAGCAATGAAGGTAATAAAAAAGAATTTTTCTTCTTGGCTTCTACTTAAAAAATAATATATACTTAAAAAATAGTTTTGGATCCTTTGGAAATGGTTTGGAGAGCCCTGGGGTTAATCACCAGTACAGCAAAAATATATAAATAAATACATGTATGTTGTTTTAAGTTGCTAAATTTGTGGTTATTTATTACTCTGTGATGGAAAACTTGGGTAACTTGCATATCAACAAACACTGAAAAACTGACCATTTAGATTAATATTACGTCTTAGGATTAGAATAAATCTTTTTCTCCCAACATAGGAATACACATTCAAGCTTTCATGATGCCTACGATCACATATAGCTGCTATAGTTTGAATTTTTATGTCTCCTCAGTGCATATGTTAAAAGCTTGGTCCCAGAGTTGTGCTATTTCTAGGTAGTGGAACCTGTGAGAACCAGACCTACCACAAGGCCTCTTATGTAATCGGGATAGAAGAGAATGGAAGAAACTCTGTCCCTTTCTCATTCTCTTCTGTTTCCTGGTGTGAGGTGAATGGCTTTCTTTTGCCACGCACTCCCCAGCCATCCCATCATGTGTGGCCTTCTCAGAAGCCCAAAAGCAAAAAGACTTTTGGATTGACCATGGACAGGAACCACCAAAATTGTAAACACACATCTTTTCTTTTTTATAAATAATTTCAGATATTAGTCAGGTAATGGAAATTGTTTAATACGGGAAAGTTGTACCAAGAAATTATGTCTAGGCATGCTCCTGATCACTGAGTTCCCTCCCCAACCCTTTGCAGTTCCTATAGCTAACAGTGGGGAGGAATCTGGATTTTTAAGGAGAGAAAGCCTAGAATGTTGTAAGTAGAGCTTACAGGGTGATCCTGGGGAGGGTTCAAAAGACCAGAACATGGATGGAATCATGGACAGTAAAGGCAGAGCTGATGAGATTTCAGCTAGAAATGAGGACCATGCTGGGAGTTGGGCTTAAAGGACATCCTTGATGCACGAGGGAGGAAAAGGTGGCAGCACTGTGTCTGCTCCCTTAGACTTTGTGGAGTTTGAGCTTTGAGAAGACGAATTAGTTTACTTGGTGGAGGTTTCAAGGCAGCAAAACATTCAGGCAGTGGCATGAATTTTACTGGCTGGTTTTAGCAACATTGACAAAAAACAAGCAGGAATAGACCAGGATGACATTAAAACTTGGTAGGTTTACCAGATACAGAGCATGTGTGAACTTTTGGGCAGGATGGTGACATTATTAGCAGCAATAAAAAGAAATCAAGGGCCACATGTGTGGCAAATGGTTTTATTCTTTGTGCTGCTGGGATGATGCACTGTAATGCCATAGGCCTGAAAGCTCTGGAGCCAAGCAATTGTGGACTAGACCCTCCAAAACTATGAGCCAAAATAAACCTTTTCTCTTTATAACTGAATGATCTCAGCTATTTGTTACAGTAACCATGCTCGCTAACACAATGGCCATTCACATTTTGGATTGTGAAACCTAGTGAATTCCAGTGTGAATTTCCAAGTGTTGTGCTGTGGACTTATTACCATTATTCTCTCCTGCTCCATCCTCTACCCTCTAAAAGCAGATGCTGATAGGAGATTCCTTCTTATATCAAGTCTCCCAGTGGACAACGGCCTGAGGGAAGACAAGAAATGGAGCAGAGGTACTTCCCAAGCCAAGCTAAGGGAAGAGTACAGTGCAACAAGAGCAGCAGACTTTTTGCCCTCAGTTTCCCCACCAGCCCACTCAAAGCTGGTGACATGAACCAAGGTCGTAATGGAAGTATAAGGAGAATAGGCAGTGGCCAAGAAATATTTTGTACTTAACTTAGGACAAGCCAAAGCCATTTTTCTTAAAAGCAAATTTATAGAAATTAGGTTTCTTAAACATAATACAATCAGGTATAAATTAGATATTATTCAGCATAAAACTTTGGAAGAAGTAAACAAAATCTATCGTCAGTTCTCATCATTTATCAAAGAATGGCCACACTAGATGTGCCACGCTCAGATGGAGTGTCATTTGTCGACTCTGTTTCCCACGCCATCAACCCACCTTCGCATCTTTACTTTGTTTCCCGAGTATTTCAAACTCAGGAAGAAAAAGAGCTTCTCATGATGAGTGGCACACACATTGTAATCTCTGGAAAAGACTGTGTCCTATTGTAACCCTAACATTCTGCTTGGTTCACTGTGCTTATGGTGCTGCTCCTCAAAATCAGTGAGGATCAAAGCCTGAACAGGAAGACTCAGTCCCAACTTTTCACATAGTCTTTGGCCTCGAGGAATTCTCCTTATAGCTTCAATATTTATGTAGTGATTCCATGAAAGCATTGAAAATCAGAACACAGTGTTTGTGAGTCACGTCTGAACATAAGTACAGAGAAAATTAGCATATCAATATAACTTTTTTTTTAGAAAAAAGTATACTCTTCATTAATTCAATACATTACGGTATTTTGCTGATTCTAAGATACTGTAAAAGACAACATTGTTTTATATTTGCAAAAAATTATGTTTACAAAAAGTTTCAGTTCAGTGTCACAATGTTATATGATCATTTATTGTAAGACATCTTGATTTCAAAATAGTCTAGGGAACATGTATATATTGCAGTGATCAAATTCAACATTAAAATACATTCCTCTTAAAACTACCAATAAAATATTAAACACTAAGAACATTAAATTGGCACATATTCATAATTAATAGCATATTCTTAAAGCTATTCTGTTTTTCCCTCTCAGTTGAAAGGGGGAGCAGGCTGGCAATGACACTGATTTCTAGGGATGGCTCATATGACTATAAAACATGTATTTTCAATTTGGAAATCATCATAGTCTAATATCACAGACCAGGAGCTGAAGTAAATGAAGTCTACATAAGGTGCCTCGGTACAAAGCCAGAAGGCAGAGGCATGACTGGAAACCCAGTGTTTGGGGTGCTGCTGTGTTCTTTTCATGGACATCAAAAACCAAGTTGATCATTACCATTCTTTAGTCCAATCCTATAGGTAGGGCAAATCAATTCTTTAAAACATCTACTTGGAAGGATGTTCTTTTATGAAACTAAATCCAACTTTCTAGGCAGCTTATGAATGTCTCATAATTTGCTTAGCAAATCCATTCTACTTCTCCATGGGTTTTGCTCTGTTAGGCATCAGACTCAAACGATTTCTCTGTATGTGCTGAAACACAAAGGTCTTAAAATATTATGTAATCTGCCTCATGTCAAACACTGGTCTCATGCAAGATCCTACACTATGACCATTTGGTGGTTTGTGAGAGTCTGTGGGAGTGACAAGCACTTCAAAGCTTTTTAGCACTTACTAGAGAAAGATTCAGAAACTTGGATCTACAAAACATGCAGAAGATCTGATAATGCTGTGCTCTCTCTGGCCTCTTTGGAAGTGGCTATTCAAGAAAATCAGTAAGTAATCCATCTTCCCTAAGTTCCTTTTGTCCTGATTTCTGACAAAGTACTTCAAAGGACAATTCCAACATTAGATGGAGAAGACTCAAACATTTTTGTAGTTGAGAGGAATTAATCAGAGACTTCAGGTGTGGCTGCCATTAAACTGTTTCTAGACGTTTGCACATTATAGAAGCGCCATTGTATGACGCATTTAATTACTTCCAAAGCCATCTCATTGTGTTTTTCACATCCTTGCTTCACTTTCTTCCTCCTAGTCCTGAACTAGAGGCAAAGCTTTCTGGATCTCATGCTTGATGTTTTCTTTTCCCTGCTGTAGACAGAAAAGGTGGCTAATTTATACATCACAGCAAATAAAACTATAATGAGAATTGTTGACCCCAAACACATGTACAGAACTACTGGAAACTCTGGAAATAGTCCTTGAAGAATTCCTGTCCCTGCAGGAGTAGCCATCAACCCTAGGGAAGCACCAACTAGAATAAATGCCGCAGACTTCCCACTTATGCTCGTGTACTGCTCAATCCAAGAAATACCGCTGGGAAAGGTGGCGGCCATCGAGGCCCCATACACTGAGCTCGCTATCCACAGACAGAGTGGGCTCTTGTCGAAAAGCACCAGGAATAAACATGACACCAGGCTTCCAGTGTTGCTCAGCACAATCATGGTTCCAGGCCGTAAACATGTGGCAAACAAGATTGCCAGGCCCCTGCAGGCTGCAAAGGTCCCCCAGAAGGCGGAGTTCAAGCCAGCCGCCTCGCTCTCCTCCATGCCAACGTGGATGGTTGCAAATGAGAAAACATAAGAGCTGTAGGTTACCTCAGCTCCAACGTAAAAAAAGAAGAAGAGGAAAAGGAGGCAGAGCAGGGCCCTGTGATGTTTAGCTCTTCGAGATTCCTGAGCAGAGGCTGTTGATTTTTTGTGCTTTGTGCTTTTCATGAAAAACAGAGCAAACAGGAAGACAGAAACTACAAAGGTGTAAGTGCCGATAGCAGCATAAGCCCACAGTAAGTTCAAGTCATCAGGCGCTGCAAACAGAAGGCCTGGGTCGGCTTCAGGAGATCGGTTGAGGGCTGCAGGGTGAAGGTCAGGCTCTGTGTGGTTTTCAGGTGATGCTGTTGTCCCCAACGCCAGTTTTGCCAGAATAGGAGTCAAAAAAGCACCCAAGGCAAAACTGAAGTGTAAGGCCTGCATATGTGGGGCTCCTTTGTCCCCCCATAGAGCCAAGATAAGGACGTTCCCACCTATCAAGGAAAGATGGGGAAATAGTTTAAGTACAGTGATTACATGGCCTGAGCATTATAATATTCATAGTTATCAAACATTCAATCACTTCTGTGATTGAAGACCTCTAGCCCACTGCCACCAGACTTACTGTATATAACATTTCATTATTAGATAGTGGCCACATTACCACAAATTACTGCAATGATTTCTATGATTTTGATTGGTAGTCACTTTTGGAATATATACATAACACGTGTGTGTGTGTGTGTGTGTTGCATCTGTTACATATATGTATATAACTAGCCAGCTGCTTCAGTTTCCCCCATGCCAACATGGGTGGTTACAAATTAGAAAATATAAGAGCTGTAGGTTACCTATATGTGTATATAACAGATGCAAAACATGTTCAGGAAGTCAAACCCTGGAGGATTCTGCTGTGCCTATGACAAAAAATAAAAACACCTCCCAGCATCTGCCCTAAACAGGTCACCTAGAAGATGAAAGGCCACAGTTTCATAGTGGTAGCTATCTTGTTTTTTATCAGACAGACATATATAATTCTACCCTGTAACTCTGCAACCAAACTAAACCCAAACTGTAAAATATTTCCAGAATCTATCCAATAACTTAAAGCATGGAAGGGAAGCCAATGTCTCTTATGTTATTTATCAGATTTTCAAGGGCATGACAGAAGAGGCAGCAGAGCAGGAATTTCTGAGTGAGAAAAAGACAGAAAAGTAAAAAAAGTAGCGCATGCCCAGGTTTTTCTTCGCTCCATAACGGGGGCACATTCTTAATTGGGTGGTTGTTTCTATGCTTTCACAGCCAAATAGTGGTTCCTATTTATGTCTAACCCACCGCTTCCTCTTGCACTGCAACAATAACCTTCTATCCCTCTCACTTGCTCTATAATTATTCCCATGAGGGAATCCCGCCCTGTCCTGATCTGTAAACCTCCCACAGAACCAAATCCCCTAAGTTCACTTCATAGTGGTGAGTTTGACGCCCTAATTAGCAAGAGGAGGAGCTACCAGATGATTCTGACTGGGTGACCCCATGAGCATGTAATAAATCTGGGTCTCTCAAGAGCTTTGCAAGTGACAGCTTCATATCTTCTCCTATACTTTTCCTAGTAGTGTTCCAGGTGATACTGCAGGGTTCACTAACCTGTATCCAGAACACCCAGTCCAACACCAGTGACAGACATCATGACAATCAGTAATGCTGCTGTCTTGCAAAGAGGAATGAGATACTGAGCAATTGAGCTAGCCAACATCGACAGCCCTGAGAAGGAAAGGCAAACGTCAGCTGTGAGAAACAGTATTCATCAGGTTCCTGGGTCAAGTAAACCTAGAGACTTCAAATATACTACATACAGTCAGATTACATTCGGATATCTTCAGAAGATTGTAGACTGTACAAATGGTTATTTCCTTTAAAGCTTTTGTAAGTTCTATGGACTACAAAATATAAAGTACCATGACATAAATGATAAATCACCATGACCATTATAGTACTGCTAGTAATAAAACTCTAAGTTATATCACAAAGGAACTTTTACAACAAAAGAGACAGGCCACAAATTATTCACTTAAACATTTCACAGTTAATAACTGAAAAAGACTTTTAGATCTGAGGTACTATTTAAAAGGCAAAAAGAAAATAGAGTTATTGTAGTTGGTAATAAAATTTTAATTTTCAAAAAAGAGGGAGAAATATAAGACATATAGTGCTGGGCTGAGAATGTACGTAGCTCAGTGCTTGCATGCCATGCACACGGCCCCAGGTTCTTCCTCAAGACCTTTCATGCATGTGTGTATGTGCACATATACACATGAGTATGCATGAATATAGATGACTATGTGTGTATACAGGCATGCATGGGATGTGCATATACATGTGTGTATATACATGCAGGTGTATATACCTACACGTGTGCATATACATGTAAGTGTACACATCTGCATGTACATGTGTGTTTGTACATGTGTATAGATTCATGTGAATATAACACACCTGCAACAAATTGTATTATACACATTTGAATACATGTGCATATATGTCTATACACACATTTATATTCACATATGTGAAATACAAAGGGTATTTTATTCACTAGCAATAATAGATTATTCTCTTTTCTTAGGTGTTTTATCACACTAATCTAAATTTTTTAAAATGTCATTTTATTAAAAAATATGTTAAAAGCTTTACAATTTATAATCAGAGAGAAGGAGAGAAGTTAGGGATCATCACTGGTATGGGGGAGCAGGAGCAGAAATGTAGCCCTTGCCAGTCCCTCACTGCTCTGGACCCCTTCATGCTCAATCCAGAGGCTGTAGGGCTGGGGCAGTTCCCAGGAGCTTATTCTGATCTCTGTGGCTCCAGGACAGCTGCCCTCTGCCCTGATGAACAGAGTGGCTCCCTGGATGCCTCCCTGATTTACAGTGAAGGTTGGGCAGGCTGAGGATCTCACACACACACACACACACACTTTACCACTAATCCAACTTTCCTGAGGACATAGCACAGATGCCCTCTCACTCCCAAAGTGAGCAACAACAAGGAGGCCAGCTTTCCGGAGGTCACCTAAAGGCCCCCACTTCATCAGCCAGCCATTCTGCAGGCTGCTGTTTTTCCTAGGGACAACCAAGGTGAAAACACACTGGAAGTCAACAGAGTGAAATTGCTATTTACTTACCTAAAAGTAAAAAGTGATTCATACGGTCGAAAAGAACCCCACCTATGGCACAGCCACCCAAATATCCCAAAGCACGACCCACAAATATTTCAGAAAGGCTGCTCATATTTTGGTTCACATTTCTTGCCAAATCTTGAAACGTGGGTCCCAGTACAGCAGCAATCAATCCCTGAAACGTGAAGACGAAAGCTGTTACAAACAAAATGATATGCGTCTGACTTACGTACACGACGAAAAAAATTGGGGAGTGCGTTACAGGACAGTGTAGAGAATTACCTCAAGACCCACAGTAAGAAAAATTACGGTACTAATATTAGTAGAACTATAGATGCCTATTATTTTTCTTTTCAAAACCCTCAATTTAAAAAATACACTTAATCCTTCTGGCTCTTGGTTGCATTTTGTTTTCCATTTGAATAATAGCCTAAGATTGTTCTGTATTAAAAGTTAATCAGGCCCAGCCTATTTGGGACTCCTGCACCTCACCATCGGTGTGCAGAGGAGGGGCTGGGCAGATCTGGGGTGCCTGTATCCGCCTCCCCGTGTGTCTGGAGGACTGTGGATATCTCAGCAAGTAGGGGAGCATCGCAGGTTCTAGAGGCCCTGCAGCCTGTGGTAAGTCCTCAGTGCACTCTGCCCAAAGCCCAGACCGTTTGGGACCCTCCAGGCTTCTGGGTGCAGTAAAGTGGATAAGTAGGTTTGAGGCATCTATATCCGCCTCCCCATCCCGGCTGTGCGTGGAGAACTGTGGAGCTTCCAACAAGCAGGTGGGCGCACCGTGTCCCTGAAGCCCAGCTTATCTGGAACTACGGAGTTCTAAACAGGCAGAAAAGGGCCATTGGTTCTACAGGCCCAGTGGCTTGGGGTAACGGGGTGCCAGAGTGTCAGAAGCTGCGAACATAGAAGGGGATTTCCAACAGACCCTGAGGAAGCTTTCAAATAACACTTGAAACACAGAAATATAGGAAAATGACAAAACAAAAGACCAAATTACAACCTCAAACCTCCAGCCCATCTCAAGAAACCCTAGAAGCAATGTATATAGAAGAAAATATATGCCATTCACCTCAAATATTGGACACAATAGCTACTGAAATTAACAAGCAACTCCAGGAAGCTTTAAAGAAATTCAAACTCAAAATAATCTCCCAGGTAAAAGAAGAAATGATAAAAGAAATGAAAGAGATTCTGAATATATCTAAAGAAAACACAGTTAAAAAATTGGAGGAACTAAACAAAAAGATAGAATCCCTAGACGAGCAATATAAGAAAAAACAGAATACATAATGCAGATGCACAGAGATATACAGGAAATAAAAAACTCCACTGAAAGTTGTAAAAACCGCCTCAATGAAAGTGAAGATAGAATTTCAGACCTTGAAGACAGGATTGCAGCTAGTGAACAGGAAAGGAAAGATCTTTTAAAAATAACAAGGAATCAGGAAACCACAATTCAACAACTGCAAGATGATGCAAAGATAAATAACATAAGAATGATAGAGATTAATGAAAAAGAAGGAGACAACATAAAGGATGTCAAGAGGATATTTAGAGAAATAATAGCTGAAAATTTCCCAAGCATGAGATCAGAAACCGACATCAGGATCAGTGAAGCATATAGAACTCCAAATAGTCATAACCAAAATAAAACTACACCCAGGCATATAATAATCACCATCCCAGAAATCCAACACAAGAATAGATTATTAAAAGCTGTCAGAGAGAAAAGACAGATCACTTATAAAGGCAAACCTATCAGAATCACAGCAGACTTCTCAGCAAAAACAATAAAGTCAAGAAGAGCATGGAATGAAGTATTCCAGATCCTAAAGCAAAATGATTTTCAACTTAGACTGATGTGTCCTGCAAAACTATCATTCAAAATAGATGGTGCAATACGATACTTCCATGACAAAGAACAGCTGAAGAACTTCATGAACACCAAACCAACCCTGCAAAAAACATTGAAAGACAGTTTAAATACACAAAGGAAAAAACCACTAAGCAAAGCAGATAATTAAACAGAACAGAAAGATAAAGATGCAACAGCAGAGAGATAACATGTCAACAATAAACCAGCATTTAACAGTAATAACCATTAATGTAAATGGTCTCAATGCACCAATCAAAAGAAACAGACTAGCAGAATGGATCAAGAAACAAAATCCAACCATATGCTGTTTACAGGAAACCCATCTAACCCAGAAGGATACTCACAGACTGAAAGTCAAAGGATGGAAAACAATTCTTCATGCAGCAGGAATCCAAAAAAAGGCAGGAGTAGCCATTCTGTTTGCAGACAACGTGAACTTTAAACCAACAATGACCATAAAGGACAAAGAAGGTCACTACATACTCGTTAGGGGAAAACTCCAAGAGGAAGAGATAACTATCTTAAATATATATGCACCAAACTCCAGAGTACCCAGTTATATAAAACAACTATTAACAGAAATGAAAACTCAAATTATCAGTAACCCAATTGTAACAGGAGACCTTAATACGCCATTGACACCAAGGGACAGATCAACCAGACAGAAAATGAGCAAAGAAATAACAGAACTGAATCACACCTGTGAACAAATGGATTTGATAGACATATACAGAATGTTCCACGCAACAACATCAGAATACACATTCTTCTCAGCAGTACATGGATCATTCTCTAAAATAGACCATATATTAGCTCACAGAACATATTTAAACAAATGCAAAAGAGTTGAAATCATCCCTTCCATGTTATCGGATCATAGCGCTCTGAAATTAGAAATTAATGATAAAAGATACTGCAAAAATCCCGGAAACACATGGAAACTGAATAACACACTCTTGAGTAATCAGTGGGTCACAGAAGAAATTAAAGAAGAAATTAAACAATACCTAAAAGAAAATGAAAATGCAGATACAACTTACCGGAATTTGTGGGATGCAATGAAAGCCATCCTCAGAGGAAAATTTATTGTACTGAGTTCCCACATCAGGAAAACAGAACAAATACAAATAAATAACTTGATGCTATACCTCAAACAGCTAGAAAAAGAAGAGCAAGTCAAGCCCAAAGGCAAAAGAAGACAGGAAATTATAAAAATCAGAGCAGAAATCAATGCAATAGAGACTAAGAAAACAATCCAAAGAATCAACGAATCAAAGAGTTGGTTCTTTGAAAGAATAAACAAAATCGATAAGCCCCTAGCCAACCTTATTAAAAAAAGAGAAGAAAAAGCTCAAATTCATGCAATAAGGAATGAAAAAGGTGAAATCCCTACAGACCCAATAGAAATACAGAAGATCATCAACACCTATATCAAAAACCTCTACTCTCAAAGGTTTGATAACACAGAAGAAATAGACAGATTCTTAGAAACATATGAAGTACCAAAGCTAGATCAAGAGGATGTAACACTGTTGAATAACCCAATCTCTGTTAATGAAATTGAAAATGTAATTAAGTCCTTACCTACAAAGAAGAGTCCAGGCCCAGATGGTTCACTGCAGAATTCTACAAGAAATACAAAGAAGACCTAATGCCGACACTCCTCAAACTATTCAATGAAATTGAAAGGGAAGCAATCCTTCCTAAGTCATTCCTGGAAGCAAATATTACTCTAGTACCAAAACCTGGGAAAGACCCAACTAAAAAAGAGAACTATAGACTGATCTCCCTAATGAACACAGAAGCAAAAATCCTCAATAAAATATTGGCAAATAGGGTACAGCAAATCATCAAGAAGATTATACACCATGACCAAGTGGGATTCATCCCAGGAATGCAAGGATGGTTCAACATATGTAAATCAATAAATGTAATCCACCATATCAATAAAGCCAAAGGTAAGAATCACATGATCATTTCTATAGATGCAGAAAAAGCCTTCGATAAGGTCCAACATTCATTCATGATAAGACCTTTACAGAAAATTGGAATAGATGGTCTTTACCTCAATATAATAAAGGCCATTTATGACAAACCAACAGCCAGTATCATACTAAATGGCCAAAAATTGAAAGCCTTTACTTTAAAATCAGGCACAAGACAAGGATGTTCTTTATCACCACTCCTATTTAATATAGTACTGGAAGTACTAGCCAGAGCAATTAGGCAAGAGAGAGAAATAAAAGGGGTAAAGATAGGAAAAGAAACTAAATTATCATTGTTTGCAGATGACATGATACTCTACATAGAAGACCCCCTATACTCCATTGAAAGACTCTTAGATACAATAAATAAATTCAGTAATGTAGCTGGATACAAAATCAATACTCAGAAATCAATAGAATTCCTACACATGAACATCAAAATCACAGAGAGGGAAATAAGAGAAACCACACTCTTCACATTAGCAAGCAAAAAAATGAAATATTTAGGAATTACTCTTATGAAAGAAGTGAAAGACCTGTACAAGGAAAATTATAATACACTGAAGGAAGAAATTGAAGATTATCTCAGAAAATGGAAAGACATTCCTTGCTCATGGATAGGAAGAACAAACATTGTGAAAATGGCCATTCTCCCAAAACTGTTATACAGATTCAATGCAATCCCAACAAAAATACCATCAACATACCTTATAGATCTAGAGAAATCACTCCTAAAATTCATCTGGAACCAGAAGAGACCTAGAATAGCAAAGGCAATTCTAAGTAGCAAAGGCAAGGCAGGAGGCATCACAATCCCTGACTTGAAGCTATACTACAAAGCAACAGTAGTAAAATCAACATGAATCAAAACAGAGCTAAAGATCAATGGAATAGATTAGAAGATACAACCACAACTACAGACACACTCAACCACCTTATCTTTGATAAAGGAGCCAAGCAGGTTCACTGGAAGAACGACAGTCTCTTTAATAAATGGTGCTGGAAAAACTGGCTCTCCATTTGCCAAAAACTAAAGCTAGACCCATGTCTATCACCATGTACTAAGTTAAAATCTAAATGGGTCAAAGATCTGAATATTAAAACAAAAACACTAAATCTACTGGAAGACAAATTGGGTAGAAACCTTGAAGACATAGGAGTAGGTAGAGAATTCATGAACAAGACTCAAACCGCACAGGAAATACTTCCCAGAATCAATAACTGGGACCACTTCTTATTAAAAAGTTTCTGCATGTCAAAAGAAATCTCCAGCATAGAGAAAAGAAAACCCACAAACTGGGAAAATATTTT